GAGCAGGAACAACAGCCAGGAAGCCGGGCGTTGTGAAGGGTCCCGGGGTCAGAGGGGGCCAGAATTCCCGGGGGGAAGCCGGCCTGGGCACCGCTAGGGGGCGCCGGGCCCCGGGGGGCGGAGCCGGGGGTGGGGGCTGAATTCCTGCGGTTCCGGACTCCCCGGTCTGCAAGGCAGGGGCGAAGACCCAGATTTGAGCAGTGTGGTGGGTCACTCTTGAGGTCTTGTTAGGCAATCCGCGAACTGGACCCTTCAGTCTTCCTGGCTCCAGAAAGTAGGTTGGGCCAGAGGTCCAAAACTCCAGCCCCAGCACCTCCCTCCCCCGGCCACCACGTGAAGAGTGTGGGTCCGCAAATTTATTTCAGTGATCGGTCCCGTCCCCATCAGGGTTTCCCGGCAAGCCCCGTCCACTCTGTCTCCCAAATAAATCCCGAATCGGCCACCTTCCTTCCACGTCCACTCCCAGCTTCTGCCCAGACCATCATTATCGCCCACCCGGAGCACAGTAGACGCCGAATGGGTCTGAGATCCACACTTTTCCTGCTCCCTTCCCCCGTCTTCCTCGAAGCAGCCAAGGGGGATCTTCTGGAAACTTAATCAGCTCACAGCACCACTCCCCTCCCTGCTCTATTCCCCTCGATGACTGCCCACCATACATTACATCCAAATTCCCCCCCTTTGCATATATGAGCATCTGTGACCTGGCCTCTGCCTGCCCCCCACCCTCCATCAGGTTTCCAACCATGCCACTCCTGTGTGCCATCCACACTGGTCTTTTTTCAGTTCAAGCTCATCCAACCTCCGGGTCTTTCCTTGCCTTGTTGTTCCCTCTTCCTGGCATGCTTTCCCCTGGTTCTTCCATGGCTGACTTCTTCTCTTGCTTGAGGGCTCGGTTCAAGGTCATCTCCTTACAGGAGCCTTCCCTGACCATCTCCAGGACCTTTTAATATCTTCCTGTCACTCTCTGTACACTTCCTGTGTTTATTTACTTCTTGTGGGATACCTGCTAGACACTCAATAAATATCCAACTATACAAAATAGTCACTTTTGTAGGACAAAAAGGGTTGAATATTGGCCATTCCACATGGTTCATTGGAGAAATAGTGTTATTATTAAGGGTACTTATTAATAAGAGTAATTACTGTGTTCTAAGCACTGTTGTAATTGCCTTTTATTATCTCATTTAATCCTTAAAACAACTTATGAGGTTAATGCTATTGTCATCTATATCTTAAAAGTTCCTTAAAAAAAGCTAGGTGCCTGTAATCCCAGCTGTTTGGGAGGTCGAGGCGGGGGGATTGCTTGAGCTCAGGAGTTTGGGACCAGCATAGGCAACATAGCAAGGCTCTGTCTCTATAGAAAATAAAAATAATTAACTGGGTGTGGTGGCACGTGCCTGTTGTCCCAGCTACTCAGGAGGCTGAGGTAGAAGGATCACCTGAGCCCAGGAGGTCAAAGCTGCAGTGAGCCATGATCATGCCACTGCACACCAGCCTAGGCAACAGAGTAAGACCCCAACTCAAAAAAAAAAAAAGCTAGGTGCTGAGAGGTTGAGTGACTTGGCTGAGATCATGCCTACAGCAATTGTCAGGAAGCCAGGATTTGAACTTAACACTTGTCTTCCATAACCGAATGACTCCCCACTCTCTACAGAGGATGCTGAGCAAGGGTCTGAAGCGCAAGCGAGAGGAGGAGGAGAAGGAACCTCTGGCAGTCAACGCCTGGTGGCTGGATCCTGGCCACCCAGCAGTGGCACAGGCACCTCCGGCTGTGGCCTCGAACTCTCTCTTTGACCTTTCGGTTCTCAAGCTCCACCATAGCCTGCAGCAGAGTGAGCCGGACCTGCGGCACCTGGTGCTGGTGGTGAACACACTACGGCGCATCCAGGCATCCATGGCACCCACAGCTGCCCTGCCACCTGTGCCCAGTCCACCGGCAGCCCCCAGCGTGACTGATAACCTTCTGGCAAGCTCGGATGCTGCCCTCTCAGCCTCCATGGCTAGCCTCCTAGAAGACCTCAGCCACATCGAGGGCCTGAGTCAGGCCCCCCAACCCCTGGCGGACGAGGGGCCACCAGGACGCACCATTGGGGGAGCCCCGCCCAGCCTGGGTGCCTTGGACCTGCTAGGCCCAGCCACTGGCTGTCTACTGGACGATGGGCTCGAGGGCCTGTTTGAGGACATTGACACCTCTATGTATGACAGTGAACTTTGGGCACCAGCATCTGAGGGCCTCAAGCCCGGCCCTGAGGATGGTCCGGGCAAGGAGGAAGCTCCGGAGCTGGACGAAGCTGAGCTGGACTACCTCATGGACGTGCTGGTGGGCACACAGGCGCTGGAGCGGCCACCGGGGCCAGGCCGCTGACCCCTAGGGCTGGGATGGTTGTCTGGTGTCTGAACTGAGCCTGGTGGCTGGACCAACTCTCCCTGGAAAGACACAGCTGGCTCCCCTAGTACAGAGAATGGGGCTTGGGCCACTTTGGAGAGACAGCATCCAGTCTTGGGTAACCTCATATCCGTCCTCTTGTCTTGGGGCTAGTGGGAGAGTCTGGGGTTAGCCCCTAGAGATGATATGACCGGGTCTGGTGGCTGGAATATGATTGGCCCCATGCTGAACTGAATCCCCTGGGGTCATAGCCTGGGCTGTTCCTTTTCTGATGGGGGAAGAAATCCCACTCTTTTTTTTTTTTTTTTAAATTAAAACCAGTCCTGGGAAATCTCAAGTTGGTGTGCTTCTTTGTCTCTGGGCAAATTTGAAGGTGCGATAAAAACATCTGATATTTATTGAGCATGGACTGTGTACTAGGCAAAGTTCTAAGCATATGATATGTGTTAACTCATTTAATCCTATAACAACTCCACAAGATGGGTATTATTATTATTATACTCCCATTTTACAGCCAAGAAAAGTGAGGCTTCAAGAGGTCATCACTGGAGGGAGGTGAGTTTTAATACATGCACTTTTCTTCATCACTGGTCTGAGAAGTAGACCAAGTAGGTCTGATAACTGGTCCTCTAGATAAACTCTAGAACATACTCAGCCAGGTTTCCCTGTGGTGCTTATGTGTGTATATGTGGGGCAGGGGGGAAGCCCCACGCCACTTTTTGGAAATGAAAATGAAAGTCCTTGCCTGGAGGCAACCTGTGTATCTTAAGAGGGGTGGGGGGTGGGAGGGCACTTTCAGAATGCTCCTGAAAGAAAAACCCAAAAGCTGGAGGCTGGACAGAGCCTCTCCAAGGAGCGCTGAGAGTCAGTTCTCCAAGAAAATGGGGAAGGAAAGGGAGACACCAGACAGTTTTTAAAAATAAAATCCAGCCGGGCTCGGTGGCTCAGCCTGTAATCCCAGCACTTTGGGAGGCCGAGGTGAGTGGATGGCCTGAGCCCGCGGGTTCGGGACCCGCCCGGGCAACTT